AGTCGATAATTGAGCTTTGGTTGAGGTGTTATCATAGTAGTTGGGTGAGATTGAATCAAAAACTCCAAATTTGAATAGTTGTTATTGAGTAGTCTTCACTCTTTTATCATTTTCTCTTTCCACACTTTGAATCTTGATGTGAGGCTAGAATCATTGGAAAGCTTACTTCCGGGGTTTCAATTTGGACACAAGAATGACCTTAAACGGAGTCCGAACGAGAAAGTTATTTCTGTTTGAAATTTGCAAATCTATGCCATGAGCATAGTGCGCTCAAGTGCAACTTTCAACGCTCGAGCGTGTTGCACATAATCAAGTCATTAAAAGTCACTTTTTGGGCCAAATCTCTTCATTTTTCACTCCCCTTTCTCTCCCCTTCCGATATTTTTGATTTCTTGAGCTTTTTAGGTTTGATTTCATTTATTTCTATACATCTTTGATTCCTAGTCCCATATACTGAAACGTAGAGCACGACGAGGGCTTCCATTTAATCTCAACAGATTGTCGTTTGATCGCCAGCGATTTTTTCGACTTGTTTCCTTCTTCCTTCAAAAGGTAGGATCTATTTCTTAAACTCATTATGAGTTCGGTAGTGTATTTGTGGTGTATTTTAAATATATAGATTCCGTTGTCCTTGGATTGATTTTTGGAAATTTGTTCTGTAAATGAGGGTTTGTGCCAAATGGGATTGTTGAGCTATGGTTTGGCTACAAAATTTTAGTTTCCACTTACAAAAATGCATATGCGTTTTTAAAAGTAAAAAGCCCTAATTTGGAGAAACCCTAAAATGTTGATCTTTTGGGGAAATGGTTGGATTATTAAATCAAAATGTAAATGAGGAGTTTTCAAATGTTTTCTTGAAAAATGTTGTGATTATGAAATTGGAGTTAATATATGCTGAAATGAACTTTTTCTTGCATTGAAATGGATTTTCAAAGAGGAAAGGGGTTATGCCCAAAAATGTAAATGTTGATATTGTAAAGAGGAAATGGAATAAATGTTAAGAAATGTAAAATTGAAATGATGATTAATGATAATGGTGGAGTTTGATATGTATTATCACTCCCATTTGAGATTTTGAAAAAGTGTATCTTTAATGGAATTTATTTATCTATTTAGAGATATTTGTTTTGGGCTATCGGTGGATGATAGCTATGATTGTTGTAAAAATTGCACGTGAATTAGGCAAACTGGACTGCTTATAAATCATGCATATCATAGAGCATATAATGGATTTTGAGCATCTAAGCTGTATATTTTGGAAAGAGATTTTGGAAATTCTTGTGTTATGTTATAAGAGCATTTGTTTCATTTTGAAAATCAAATTTTGGATCACATGTATTGTGCTATTTGGAAAGGGTAAATAAAATGGTAAATCTGAGAAATGGCTATTGTTACATTAAACAAGTTGGCCTGTGTGTCCAGGGTGAAAGTCCCGAAAACTGCACGTATATATGGGCGCCGATCTCGGGAATGAAATTTCCATAAAATAGCAATGGTAGTGCTTGTATAGCCTACGTTTACATGGGTCTCGTTTAACGGTTTCTCGTAGACAAAATTTCTATGAAAGATTGTATTGGTTTTGGAGATTTACCCATTTTATTTATTATCATTTTGGTTTTGGAAAGAAATGATTTGGAATTGGGTTTTAGCAATGTAATTGCTGTTGGATAATGATGTATTTGTATTGGAATTGGTAATGAAATTGCTAGTTGGTATTGAGACACTTGGATTGGCTTGTGGAAATGGATTTTATATCAAACTAATGCATTGAATTCGGAAAACGTTTTGAATAAATGAACGGTTTGGAAAACTGGGAAGAAAGTGTTTCTATTGAGAAAGCAAGTGGATTTGAGAATGCATTTGGGCATATGATATATGTATGTATTGCATTCATACAAAAAAGCTTATCCTCTTTAAGAGATGAATCTTTTGCATCCTTAATCTTTTTCTCTCCTATGTTTTCTTCAGTTCTAACTTAATTTAAACTATGTAATTATTGTAAGTCCTCATGGATGTGGAGGGAGTACCCTTAGCCATCCATCCATTGAGTTGATGGCTTTTTCCTAATTTTCTTGCTTTCCTTAGCTTTGCCTTCATAGTTGTCATGTATTTTGGACCCTTGTGGATGTGATTGGGAGTAGTTTTAGCCATTCATTCACAAGTTCAATAAATAAAGTATGTTTTCCTTGTTATTGCACTCATCCTCTTCACCTATCATATCCCTCAAGTGTGTTAATCTATGTGTTTCAACTCCCTACTCAATAACAAATCTCAAAGGAGGTTAGTGTAATTTTTCCTAATAAATTTTTGTTTTGAAATTTTGAAAAAGTAATTGGGCAAAATATTTATACCAGGAATGGGCTTGTCGGCAATTTTTCCATTTGGATTGCACAGAGTTCTCATTGGGCTTCTCAACAATTCTCCAATTATTTTTAGAAGTAATGCCACAATGATTATGTCTTTATATCTCAAATGGTTTATTATGAGATGTGTCATCATTGTATTGGTAATAAAGATTCATTCAACCTATGTAATTATGACAAATGAGATACTAAACCCTATATGGCATAAAGACATGGTCATTATAGTATTACTCTATGAAGCATGGACACCTCTCCGAGGGCTCCGTACCAGTGTCAGACACGTGCCGGACATGGACACGCGTCGGACATGCAGTGGACACGTGTCCGACATGCAATAGAGAGTGTCTTATTTTTTTTTTAATTTTTTTTTTTTGCAGCCGAACACGTTTCGACACTTGCGAGACACGTTCGGGGGTCAATTTCAGAATTTATAAAACATCTTTGGGTTCGATTTGTAAAAAAAGAAAAATAGAACCATATCTGTCCTAAATCGAGTTAGGAACAACAGAGAAAGAGAGAAAGAAGAGAACAAGAGAGAGAGAGAGAGAGAGAAGACGAAGAGAACAAAAGAGAAAGAGAGACCTGGGGCTTGTTTGGTTTCTTTTTGAGAGAGTTGTTTTTGAAAAAAATTTGAGAGAGTTGTTTTAGAAATTTTTTTGGTTTGTTTGGTTGTATATTTTGAGAGACAAATTTTTTTGGGGAGTTTGGGATGATTTGATATTTTGGGAGAATTGAGTAGATGTGTGTGAGAGAAAAAATGATTGATTGATGTGTAAGAGAGAGAAAGTGATTTTGAAATTTTTTTTGAGAAAAATCTCAAACCAAACAAATTTTTGGAATTTTTTTTCTAAAACTCATTTCCCAAACTCAAACCAAACATACCCCTGGCCAATTTTCGGTGGTCGCTTGTCGCTCCTCATCACTCATCGTCCATTGCTCGTTGCTCGTTATCTAAGGCACACCTGCTTCGATCTGTTTCAATCTTCTTCTGTTTCAATCTTCTTCGTTCTTCTTCTGCTTCAATTTTCTTCTTCTTCTTTTTCTCTAATCTTCTCCCTGTCTCTGTCTCTATCTCTCTATCTCTATCTCTCAGTCACCCTCTCTCTGTCTCATTTTATTTTTTCTTTTATTTTATTCTTTCGTTTATATGATGAGTGTAGTCTATCTCTCTCTCTCTCTCTCTCTATCTTCTTTTTTTTCCCTAATTTTATTTTATATTTTCTTTTTTCTCTTTGTGCCTCTATCATTTGAGTATATAATTTATTTTTATTTTTTTTGGATTAGTTTTGTTAATTTTAATAATGTGTGTTTATTAATTTTATTATATGAACAAAATTTTCATGCATTTTGTAACAAATGATGGTTGGTAGCTTCAAATGACATGTTATGTATTGATGGAATGCAATTTTATGTTATTTGTGAATGATATATATGATGTTAAATCAATTAAATGTTTTTTTTATAATTTTAATAGTGTTATTTTGTATTTTTTTATTGACTTTTAATGATTTTTTAAATAATTTTATGACATATAATAAATAAAATTAATTATATATATAGAACGTGTCCTCAGCGTGTCGTGTCCCTTATTTTTTGAAAATATTTGTGTTCGCGTGTCCGTGTCGTGTCTATGTCGTGTCTATGTCGTGTCACGTGTCCGTATCCGTGTTTCATAGGTATTACTCCTAATTAGATTGATTTGATAATTATAACATGATTTTATCATCTTTATCTTCAGAAAAATACTTTGATTTAATTTTTCCGCATTAGATTTTATTCCCATTGATTGATTTACTTGTGGGGAATCACATCGATTTTCCCTAACAACTATAACATGATTTTATCATCTTTATCTTCAGAAAAATAAATTTTATCATCTTTATCTTCAGAAAAATAAATTTCATTTCTTTTGAAAGCAAAGATGTCATGTTGTTATGATTATCAAATAAATTTGAATTTTTATGAATGACTTACCCACCGTGTTTATAAAATGAAAGGTTCAAATCCTCATAGTGGAATCTGTAAAATCCAAAAGGCCAACTGTTGAGAAGCCTATTCATTGTACAATGTTTCTATTTAAGGTAGTTTGGAAAGAAAATTGCTTTAGCAAAGAATTATTCATACAAAAGTTTTTATTGAGAACAATACCTATATGACTTTCAAAATTAGATTAACAGCAATAGATTGTCATTTCTTCAGAAATGTAACCTTATGAGTCACTGAACCTAAGATGAAATTTCGGTATGAAAAAACTTAAGTGGTATTTGATCTAACTGAACTAAACTCATATCCCAATAAGTTTTTACCCATTTCTTTGGGACTCAATTGGCATTGCTTTTAAAGACAAACTTTTTTCACTGAATTAGTGATAAAGAGTTTACTCTCAATGATTTTGTATATATATATATAGATATGAAACACCAGCTAATAAGACTTCATCTTGGCACAATTTCAGATTAATATGTTTGTACTATCCATAAATGTAATTAATTTTATAAATTTATGCTCCGTTTGTTTTGGTAAAATATTTTATGTGAAAAATTTTTTTATTTTTTATTTTTTAAAATGTCATGGTTAGAGAATAAAACATAGAAAATATTTTCCAATATTTAGTTAGAACTCTGAAATAACGATTAGTGGTGGTAGGATGTTGGGGAAGAAAAAAGAAATAACTTGTACAAACATATTGGTTTGAGAATTATTTGTGATAATTAAATCATCATAATTTGAACAAGATAAACTTACATTAAATTAGAGAATAAAAATAAACTCTTGTATTTGATGTAAGATCAATTTATTTTGAACATACCTGGCCAATGAAATGAATTTTGTATATAGTAACATGAAAATTGTACTATATGAAAAGAAAAATTGATGAATTCTGTCTAAAATTTGGCCAACCTAACAGTCTACTAATTTATCCTTGTTCAGGATCCCTCAAGCAATTTTAGGAGAATTGGACATACTGCAAAGGAAATTTCTCTCTTTAATACAATTTTTTCTTAGCTAATAAAAAATAAAAAATAAAAAAAAATAAAAACTATTTCTCTAATTCACAGAAACAAATTCTGTAAACGACCAAAGAACAGAAAATACAACCCTTTACTTCACACAATGAAATGGTTTAGCAGAGTGTTAAGCTTCTAAAAGGAAATAAGGTGAATTACACTAATACCCTCTACATTCTGCTAAAAGGAGATTGGCGTTGCACCGCAGCAAATGGTGAATATTACTCCTCTTCCACATCATAACCTGCATGTGGCAAGTATCAAATCATTACTAAAACTAAAAATATATATAGCTAACAATCAACACCACCTCTCGAATCGAATATCATTTATCAGAGAAGTATTTAATTATTAGGTCATTTAAATTATCACTTTTGACCCACAATGAAAAGAAGAAAAAAAATTATCTAACGACTCAACTTTTTAAAAATAGATTGAGACTTCGAGCGTCAATCACCACACTATATTTATGCTTATATAATGGTATAGATAGATAAATTTTAAATTTTTAATTAATCTTCTGCCAAGTGGCAAAAAAAAAAAAGACAAAGATAACTAAATACATACTTTTGTGTTATATTTGAATCATAAATTTGGATAGAGATAAAATGAAAAAGGTAAATTGAAATAGATATAAAAATAAAAATAAAAAAATTAACCTATATTTTCATTCACATTTTACTCTCTTCTTTCTTCCTTCTTTCTTTTTCCCTTCTAAATCTCTATCCAAGACTATGATTTGTGTTTTAGATCATGAATTCAGGTAAAGATTTGGAAATGAAAATGAAAAATGAAAAATGAAAAATGAAAAATGTGAGAATAATCTAAATGAAATATGAGTTAATAATTTTTTAACTTTTCGTTTCCAAATCCTTCTCTAAATAACCAAACAGAGCATAAGTTAATGAGTTAATCTATTGCTAACCAATACTATATTAGTTACAATCACGTTATTAAGAAATCAGTGTATACACAATGCTCAAAATCTGGAGGATATATTATTAATTTCCGAAATATACCAATTGTTGGAGACAATAATTGTAGGAGAGTGAGTTTTTACTCTTCGAATATCTCTCAATGCATTTTTTTTCTTGTACCTTTTAAATTTCATGTTTTAATGGAATTTTTTCTTTGCCGATCAAAAAAGACAATAATTGTGTCTTAAGATTAAGAATATGCACATAGTTTATTAAGGGTTTAGCTTCTCTCAAATTAACCATCTCAACTAAAGGATAAGTATTTTTGGAGACATTATTATTATTATTAAAGCAATGCTACATGTAATTTCATTTCTGATCTCTTTTTATCATTCCTAGGCACACAAAAATGAGATTCATATTCATAAATGCATATAGAATCCATTTATTTGTGTATGAGAAAATGAGGTAATTAGAAATATAATTATATGTGGCATCTTCTTATTATTGTTAAGACAAATGAAGCCAACAGGTTTGATCGGGTGTAACCGAACCATGGATGACAACAGCTAAATCGTGGATTTGGATGCTCTCTAGCACTTCTCCATCCAACAATTCAACAATTAACCCTTATCACCAGTTGTGGCTTTTGAATCAACTATTGAATGATGAATGGATAAAGAAAATGTTGGAGAGAATCTTCTTCATTAAACCGCTCCCATTTTGGGAGATGTCGGTGTGGCAAGTATATGAGGTAGTGAAGTTGCTTTCTTGAGAGTATTTTATTTGGAAAACCACTAGAACAAAAGAAGCATATTTGCATGGAAGTATAATTAATTGGTTACCTCGATACTTGGGGCAGAAATCTACACGCAATTTGGAGATACGAATTTGGGATTTTGGAATTCCAATACACACGAGACTAGGAAGATTTTCAAGTTCCGCACTGAAAATATTGATTTTGCCCCTTTCATCATTATCGTTGTCATCGTCATTGTCATCGTCATCTTCATCATCTTTGTCTTCTTCTTTTTCTTCTTCTTCTTCTGCTTCCCTGGTGACAATCTTTTCTACTTTTTCACAATTTTCAATTCTTAGACATTTTAGATACCCAAGGACCTTGACCATGGAAATTGTGAATATATATCTCAGGTTGTCACACCTCTCCACTTCTAGGGATGTTAGATATTTGAAACAATGAGTTTGTTGAGAAACATTCTTCCATATATGCGTCAACTTGGGCAAATACATCAATTTCAAATCTCGAAAGTAAGTACTAGCGCATACCGACCCTTGGAGGTTGAATATTGTTTCAAGTGAATCACACCACCATACCTTCAGCCGTTCTAGACGTCGTAGTCTTTGCATTAAATTTGACGAGATCACATTTGATAATGTCTCACAACATTGGACCAACATGAATCTCACTTTGTCCAGGCGGTCAACTTCAAGTTGGTTGTGCCACATCTCTGTTGATCCATTTATGTCTGTGATAGTAAGTTTTCCAACGTTGAACACACACCAGACATTGAAAATAAACTGCAAGTCCATTAAACTTAACTATTAGTGTTAGTGACATAATTATTTTACCAAAGACTTCATTTTATTCAAGAGTTTTGGGGATAGTTTGGAAATAAAATAAAATTTTACATGAAATTTTGTTGTCATATCAACAACTTTCATTTGATCATAGACTGCAATTAATGGTGGTGGTAAAATTAATTCAAAATCAGTTGATATTATTAAAAGAATAAATGTTAAATTAATTTTTGAGTAATAATTTGATGACAAAATGATATTTTCTGCCCTATAAAATACTTGCATAATGTAAGATACCCAACAATGGTTAAATCTTTCTTGGTAAGTCAACATTTAAAAGATTAAATCATTAGTATCATTTACGCTGCTTTTTGGATTATGAATTTAGATAGGAATTTTAAAAGGTAAAAGAAAAAAAAATTGAAGAAAAAATTAACTAATACTCTATTCACATTCTCCTCACCTTTTTTCTTTCCCATTTCAAAATTCCTACCTAAATTCCTAATTCAAAACACAACCTTAGTGTTTGAACAATAGCTAAGGAAAATGAAGCGTTTAAACTTAGGACACGACTTGTTTTGTGCATGGAATTTAATAAAATAAAAACAACAACATCCAAATAGTCTTATACTGTGTTTGGTTCATCGATTTAAGGAGAAATTTGAAAAGAAAAAGAGAAAATATAAGTAAAATATAAATGAAATATAATTATATTTTACCTACATTTCTCACATATTTATCATTTTCCTTTCTATTTTCAAATCTCTATCCAAATTCATAAACTAAATACAACCTTAAAATAGAATAGACAGACTCAATATGGTACAAGAGCTTGTATGGAATCTGAAAATGAATTTTAGAATACGGTAGTTTGTCATCTAGAAAAACTGTAGTAAAGCAGTGCTTCAAGCCAAAAATTAAATAGAGAAATTGCCCTCTCTATTTAAATTTTACACATCCAACTCTCTCCCCTAACATCTGTTAGACAATTACCATTCACTCTGTGAGTATTATAAAAAAGGCAAAATTACATAGTAGTCCCTAAATTTTGCTACTCCTACCTAAATTTTTTATAAGTTGTATACATAAAAATTTTATTAATAAATATTTTTTATTTTTTTTTAATATCATAGTTAAAACTTTTATAGCTTTTATTCCCCCCTGAAGAAGACTCCACTCATTAAGAAACAAGATCCAATAAGTCATTGTCACAATATCACGAGTAACAATATAAAATTATGGACTTTAGAAAATCAAAAAAAATATATATATATATATATTATGCACTTTGAATGGAGAATTTGAATAGGGATAAATCAGTAAGATTAAAGAGACTTAAAAAACAATATAAAATTATGTACTTTAGAAAATCAAAATATATATATATATATATTATGCACTTTGAATGGAGAATTTGAATAGGGATAAATCAGTAAGATTAAAGAGACTTAAAAATATTTAATAATAGATCTAATTAGGGTAATGTTTTTATTCAGTTGGCAAAATTAATTGAAGGTGTTGTTGGGCTTCTAGGCCTATCACGAGGCCAACCTCAATGATCTGAGCTATTCATATCGAAGAACCTATTTGGACAACTATAATTACATAGTTAAATTACATTTGTCATATAGAAATGAACAATAATTATAATTTTATTATATATCGTTTATTATTTTGAAGACAAATATAATATAATAATGTAACTATAATATTCAAATCAATTTAATTTTCTATAAGAATGATCTTTTCAACTTGTGATAATTTTAACGAATACGGCAAACAAGCTCTGACAAAAATACCATAGGACACATTTTATACATTAGACAAAATTAACACAAATTGAGTGCATGGCATGAAAATGAATTTGTTCATACAATAAAAAAATACGCAAAATAGGATTCCTCTAATATGTAAAACTTTATATCCAAAAAGTGTAATGATCTCACCCAAACTAATAAGTCTTATTATTCTGTATCAATCAAAATATATGTATTGTTTACACATTCAAAAAATGTGAATAAAATCGGACTAGATGGATATTGATTGACTAATTAGACATTTCAACTAGACCTAGCCTAATTGGCCACCATATTTTCCTTAAGGCTTAGTCCCAAGGAGGTCGTGGGTTCAATTCCTTTAGGGGGGTTGAATTAAGGGAGTGCAAACACTTAGCTGTTTTGCCAAGGGTGAGGAGATTTTCTCCCATAGGTAACAACTAACATTTGTCGATAAAATAAAAATAAAAATAAAAAAACTCAACCCGTTCAAATCGTGTGGGAGTTATGATCAAATCACGGAGGGGAATTAACACAATTTATCATCTCATGTATTATCAATATATTAGTTTAATAAAGAACACTCTGGTCAATCATTTAAATTTAAAATTAAAATTAAAATTTTGGGGGCAATTGTGTCAAATTATATTTTTTTTAAATCCATAATGATAACAACAATCTGAAATATCATATAACATTTACCTATCCATCTATCTATTTATTTACAAATATGTCATTTTGTGCACGTGCCCATCTATTTGTCCATTTATTGTTCATCAATAAACTAGAATAGAGAACTCCAAGAATTGATGTTTACAAATTTGTTTACCTAATAAATCTTTGTTAAAAAAATTGAAAGAGTGGTTGGGCTAGGTAGGGCAGGGTATACGTTTATCACAAGTCTCACTTTGGTAATTTAAATCGTTTATTTTTATAATAATAGTCTTTGTGTATAGATCATAAAATATAATAGTAATAAAATAATCATATTGATTTAATCATTAAAACAATATAATTTTATCATCTTTATCTTCAAAAAATGGATTCAAAAAACTAGACGATCTTCCATTTTTTTGAACATAAATATAATAAAATTACGGTGAATTTTAAAGTTAATTAATGTACCTTTCCATCCAAGAGATGGTGATGAGATGAGGTTGAAAAGTCTGCCCTTTGTTGGTCTAGCTTGTGCTGAAATGTTGATTGGAGTATCTTCATTTTAGGACAGTTGATTACTTGTATTGTTTTCAACAAAGATCCCTCAAACGTACAAGCCTCGGAGCAGAAACTCCTAAGGTTTGGCAAATCACTGAGTTTGAGACTACTCAGTTGAGGAAACATGATCATATTTGTTATCACTGCATCATCTGCATTTGGTTCACTTCCAATGATTGATTCCATCATGCCACATTCAGTTACCTCTATTTCTTGTAGTTTCACAAGAAGTTTGGCTAGAGAGTATGAGAACAGATTTCTTAAACTGCCACAATCATTTACTATTAAGGATATTAGATTTTGAAAGCCTTGAATTCTTGCTGAATTGTCCTTCCAAACATGTGTCAACTTTGGTAGACAGCTTAATTTCACCTTTTTTAATGAAGGGAGTGGCATATCTAATATGCCTTCCCAAACAAGTCCTTCAAGGTCAAATGCTACTCCAATAGATCGACAGTCACGTACTTCAAGTAGTTCAAGATTTTGCATGCCCTTAATTGAATTGGATAGGAAAAGAATGTTTGAGAGCCCATGACATTTGTCAACTTTTATCGTTCTTAGTTTACCTTGAAGTTGTCCAGGCCAAATCTCCATCAGATTCTCCATGTCATAGATGCTCAATTCTTCAATGGCAGTCAATTTGACCTGTGAGTCCATTCACATGCTTACAAACTTAATTAAGCACAACAAATGTTATTCCCATTAAACATCATCCATTTAGTTTCCAAATTAATATACATCATATTTGACTAATTAAACATAAAACAGTTCTTACACATCAATTACAATACATTTTTAGATCCGAATTAAGCTAAAAAGTCCAATCCATTTTATTATATTCTTAAATTTACCAAATATAAAAATACACATTAAATTTCATCTTGGTATAGTGGAGGGTGATCAAGGTGATGGGGAGTCGAATCAATCAAAAGATAATGAAGTACAAGGATTCTCATCATGGTTATCATAATCTTATTATTTTACGATTTCAATTGGGTCAAATGATTCAAATCACAATAAGATCTTAAATTTATTAAAATATGGAAGTGACTAAGATCAGGGGCAACAGTAGGAAAAGGGTGATGGGTCCGATCCACCCATCACCCTACCAAAAAGCCTTGAATTTTTTTTTTTTTTTTTTTTGTGACAAAAAATTTATTTGATAACTAATTGATCCTATGAAAAAAATAAGAGACCCTATCATTAGAAACCAATACTCAATAGGAATCTAGTCTTTCTCTATTATGTTTCTGTTCTCAACACTCAAATCAAATGAGAGATCAATGGTTGAATGGTTACTTGATTATGTGTATAAAAAGAGGATATGTTTGCACTATTGACAATGAAAATTTCATGTAATAATTCAAAAAAATGACACCTCGTCAAATACGACTGTAAAAGTTTATTTTATTTTATTTTTTTTTTGTTAAGACTAATTATTTATTAAAGGATAAAAGATAGTTTTAGTCCCTAAAGTATACGTTGTTTTTCACTTTAGTCCTTTAAGTTTCAATTTTATCATTTTGGTCCTCAAAATTATCAATTTGAATCAATTTGGTCCTAGGTTTAACTTCCGTTAACAGAAATATGAATAAAAGATAATTTTGGTCCCTAAAATATGCATTTCTTGTCATTTTAGTCCTTCAAATTTTAAATTTTTTCATTTTGGTTCTCAAAATTGTCAATTTGAGTTGGGATCAAATTGACTCAAATTGACAATTTTGAAGATCAGAATGACAAAATTTAAAACTTGAGGGACTAAAATGAGAATAAATGCATATTTTAGGGACCAAAACCGTCTTTTATTCATTTTCGTTAACGGACGTTAAACCTCGGACTAAATTGACTTAAATTGGCAATTTTGATAACCAAAATGACAAAACTAAACTTACGGGACTAAAATGATAAAGAATGCATACTTTAAGAACTAAAATTGTCTTTTATCCTTATCAAAAGTTAATTTTACTTGAACTTGAAGGTGGAGATGGAGAAGTTTAAATGTTTATTAACTTAATTTTTTTTAATAAAATTTGTGAAGTTGAAATTTTTTGAGTGATCCCATTTATAAAAATTTCTAGAGTCATCGACTACTATCCTAATTAAAAAAATCGTATAGAATCGCACTATGAGTCCGATTCTACTACAATCCCAATCCTACTAATTATTTTTCTTATTATTTATTTCTATAGTGGACATTGTAGGACGAGATGATGAGACCTAAAAGGGAATAAATTATAAATATTTAAGAATAAAATGGATAAAGAAAGTACTTGGAACTTGGAAGATGATGCTAACACAATGTGGAACTCAATGGCCAATTGTATTAGGAGAATCTCAAAGGAAGTCCTTGGAGAGTCAAAAGGAAAGGGACCCAACTCTAAGAAAACTTGGTGGTGAAGGGAGGAGGTTCAAGCAGTAGTAAAGACAAAAAAAATGGTGCTTTAAAAATGACAGAAGGATAGAACTGAAGAAAACCTTAAGAGTTACAGATTGGTTAACAAGGAGGTCAAAAAAGTAGTAAGAGAAGCTAAGTTGAAGCCTATGATGACCCATACACTAAACTAGATAGTAAGGAGGGAGAGAAAAGAATATACAAACTTGCCAAGACAAAGGAGAGGAAAATAAGAGATTTTAATCAAGTTACATGCATCAAAAATGAAGACTCTAAGGTGTTGGTGAAGAATAAAGAGATTAAGGAGAAGTGGACGAACTATTTTGAGAAGTTGTTAAATCAAGAACATGGAGGAAGGTCAAAAGGGAAGGAAGTAGCCAGTAATAAAGAAAACGAAGACTATAGGTTTTGTCATAGGATTAGGAACTTTGAAGTGGAGATTGCGCTTAAGAAGATAAAATCGAATAAGGCTTTAAGACTCGATGATATCTCTATTGAAGCTTGGAAATGTTTAGGTAAGAAGGGGGTTGCTTGGTTGACTAGGTTATTTATTAAGATTTTGTTAAATAGGAAAATGCCAGAGGAGTGGAAGAAGAGTATTTTAATGCCAATCTATAATAATAAATGAAATGTCCAGAATTGCAACAACTGTAGGGGAATCAAGTTGATGTTTCATATAATGAAAGTGTAGGAGAGAGTGATAAAACATCGATTGCGAGATAAAACAAAGGTGTTAGACAATTAATTTGGATTTATGCTTGGTAGGTCAACAATGGAAGCGATCTATCTTTTGAAGAGAGTAATAAAAATGTAGATAGAAAAGGAATAAAGACATTCATATGGTTTTTATCGATCTTGAGAAAATATATGATAGAGTGCCTCGGGACATAATCTAGTGGGTGCTAAAGAAGAAAATGGTGACAAAAGATCACATTGATGTGATTAGGGACATGTATAAAGATGTGGTGACCACTATTAGATCGTTTGCTGGAGAGACAAGTGAATTTCCGATTAGTGTGGGGTTACACCAAGAATTAACCTTAAGTTCTTATCTTTTTGCTTTAGTTATGGATAAGTTGTCGAGAAATATTCAGGATGATACGCCATGGTGCATGTTTTTCACTGATGATATTGTGTTAGTGGATGAGACTAGAGAAGGAGTTAATACTAAGTTGGAGATTTGGAGAAAAACGTTTGAATCTACAAGATTTAAGATAAACAGAACTAAGACAAAGTATATAGTATAATTTTAGTAACAGCAACAATGGAAGCTGAGGAGGAGTGAAGATTATGACCCAAGAACTAAGTAAGAATGAACATTTTCGTTATTTAGAATCGATTATCACAACGGCTAGGGAGATTGGAGCGGATGTGATCTATAGAATTAAGATGGGGTGGCTTAAATGGAAGAATGCGTCTGGGATACTATGCGATAAACGAGTACCCACTAGACAAAAATAAAATCCTAGAACGGCTATTAGACTAGCGAAGTTATATGGGACAGAATGTTGGGCAATTAAAAAACAATATGTAGATAAGATGAATGTTGTTAAGATGAGGATGTTAAGGTGGATGCATGGCAAGACTAGAAAAGACAAAGTTAGGAATGAGCATATTTGTGAATGGGTAAAAGTAGCACCGATAGAAGAGAAACTGAAAGAGAATAGATTGAAATGGTTTGGGTATATATAATGGAGACCAATAGAGACAGTGGTAAAAAGATGTGATACATACAGTGACGATGGAAGGAAGTGTTAAGGCAAAGGTGTAGACTTAGATTGACGTAGACTAGTGTAGTAAATAAAAATACGAATCTCCTTGATTTGACTAACCAAATGGCCATTGATAGACTCAAGTGGAAAAAAATGATTTATGTAGCCAACTCCATTTGATGGGACTAAAGGTTTGGTTTGGTTTGGTTATTTTAGTTATTTCTATATCTATATATAAAATTTAACTATAAACTCATTTCACACATCTCCTCTAATTTATGTTAATTTTGAAGATGTATTATATTAATTTAAATTTTTTTTAATAATTTCAAAATTATGTAACATACATTATCATTATCAATTATTTTTCATTTTGAATTGTTTTGTAGTGAAAGCAGAATCTTCCAAAGAAACATCTTCCAAAGTGACCACACTAACAAAAATTCAATAGTGTAAGAACTAAACTGGAAATAAAGTTTACAGACAAAAAAAGAACTAGCAATACTTTAGGGGCACACAGTGTGATTTTATCTTAAAAATTAAAAGTGCATTAACTTATAGATTATTTTTTTTTTTATGATGTTTTTCAAATCTACATGGATTAGCCTTAATTTGTAATAATAATTTTAAGAACCTTCAACATATTAAAAATCTTTATCAAATTCAGACTTCATAAATAGGAATTTTTAATAGAAAATCCCATATTAAATTTGTACAGTAATAAGCCCTATATATTTTCTTATAATCCCTGAAGTTCGATCGAACAGATAGTTCAAGTCTTTCTTTTATGAAGTGTGACGACCGGATCTTTATTTTCTTTCTTTTTCTTTCCTTTTCACTTCGTTCTCTTTTTGCTCTCGTTAGGTTTGAAATGTCCGGAAGTAGTCCTCAAAATTTAAGTTCTTGTTCTGGTTTTCCTTCGAGGTTGAATTCCACTTATTCCGAAGGGTGCATGGTCGAGTCCGGAGTATCCGGGAGTGAACGAGCAGATTTCTGAGCTGCTGGGCCAGGGCCGCACATGCGGGAGCCCAGGGCTGCACATACGGGATGGGGCTGCACGTGCGGGGGAGGAGGGCCGCACATGCGGAAGAGGAGGAGTTGGGAGAGTTGCACACTGCCTAAAAGGCATGTGCGGGGACACGTGTGACAACCGGGTCTACTTTGTTTTCTTTTCTTCACTCCATCCTCCTTTAGTTTTCGTTGGGTTTGGAGGTCCAGAAAATAGTTTTCAAACAAAACTCTTGTTCTTGTGATGTTCGGTGACGAATTTCACTAGTTCCGAGAAGTGTGGGGTCAAGTCCAGGGTGCCCGAAAGTGAAGCGGAGAATTTCTGGGCAGTTGGGCGAGGGCCGCACTTGTGGGGCCCTATGCCGCAAGTGCGGGGAGTGAGGCCGCACGTGCAGTGAGAGGTGAGGGTCTGAGGGTTGCGCACTGCCTAAAAGGCAGGTGCGGGCTGAGGTATGGCAGGACCGCCGCACGTGCAAGGGTGAGGGCCGCACGTGCAGGAAGGGTGCTCCGCACGTGCGGGGGGGGCACTGCAA